TTCACTCCAGCTCCTTGGTGACAGGATGCTGGCAGGTCCTGACAGCGGTCAGACAATCTGACTGAGGCTTGGGAGCACTGTGGACTCATTAAACGCCTCTGCAGGGTAGTCCCTGTCAAGAGTGCCCATAAAGCTCCTGCTAGACGTCGGGTGTAATGGAGGTTGTGCCGGGGAGAAAGTTTAAATAAGCCAGGGAAGGCGCTTCAGCCGACCCCCCTGAGGCTGCCAGGGAAGAAGAAATGAGGTTTGCACTAAGGAGAGATAAGCACCCAGTAATGGAAACCGCTCCTGCATTCCCGAGGACTGAGAGAAAAAAAAAGATTTCACTCTCCCCTCCCCCACTCGGCCCTCCCCCTCCCCCTTAACCCTATCCCCTCCTTGTCTCTCCTTTCTAAACTGCCAGGGGTAGGAGGCAATTCCTCATGAGAAGTGACTGTCCAGCGGCAAGCCAAGGCTACCCACGTTCTCTGTCCCTCTGCAAGAGCCTGGCTTGCTGGGCCCGGGCCCATGGGAGTGGAGCTGACCTGTCTGGAAAGGGCCATGAAATGGTTTGTTAAGATTGTTGGTAAAGAACCAGCCGAGGCCACGGGACAATCAGCACTAAGGGCCGAGCAGAGCCCACTGGGCAGGACAGGCATTCTCCCGCGGCCACAGGCGGCTTCAAGCTGTCACCCGAGGGAGCCAAAGCCAGCGTTCACCGTTCTCTATACCAGAACTTTATGTAGTTGAGAGGAACCCCAGAGACTCTCGACTCTCATAGCAAGTGTTCAAAAGTTGCTCAGCAGTTGGGTGCCAACCTCCTCCCTACCCTGTCCCCCTTGGACTAAGAGCATCGGCATCTACGGGGAGCTTGTGGGGAACTAACACTCCCGGGTCCTTCGGAAACCAGGACCCAGACCCTGCATTCCAACAAGTTCCCAGTGCAGCAGCTCACAGACAACGGAAGCTGAGACGCTCAACCAGCTGGCTCTTTCTGCTTGGGTAGAAAATGTCACTAAAGGCCCACGTGTTGAAGGGTCTCCAGTTGGTGGCATTATGAACAAATCATTGAATCACGAGGGTACCAACCTCATCAGTTCACAGCTGGATGGGCTTTTGGGGGAGTGGGGTGCTATCAGGAGATGTAGGTCACTAGGTCCCTCTCTCTCGGAATTCTTTAGCATTGACTGACTGATGGTGTGTGTGCAACTTGCTGTCAAGGCAACTTGCAGGAGTCCAATCAGGTAGTCGGGGGTTGGGAGTGTCATAGTCCAAGGAAGGAGGGCTGGGTGGGGCTCATCTGTAGACAGTGCAATGAACTCATTTGTAGCCTCGGACTTGAGTATTACTAAATCTTGTATTCTCAATGGCCCTGTGGGTCCCCGGATCTATTTATTACTCAAGGGAAGCTGTGATAAGGCGCAAACTTTAGGTCTCATTTCTCTTGACAGACGATGAGATGTTTAATTCACAAGAGGCCAGAGAAATCAGACCTGAAAAGTCACTGCTGCCCCAGATTCCACCACAGAGAACAGCTGGTATGCGGTTGCAAGCAATGTACAGCCCAGCATGCTAAAACCCCCCTGTGAGCCAAGGCTACGCGGAGGAAAAGTTTAATGGGAAAACTAGGCAACTCCCCAGTTTTATTTTCAAAGCCCTTGAAGTTCGGGGAGGGGGGCCCTAGCCTGTCCTCCCTTCATCCAAGGAGATCCTATTGAGCGCTCAGAGGCAGTCGGGGTGTTCCTGGGCAGGATCACCCTCCTACTGGGAAAGCATTCATCAAATCAAGTTCTTCAGCACCCTGAGACCTACCTCTGAGTTCTCTCTCCCAGATAGCCCACGAAGTACTTTTGCCTCACGAGCAGATACATCAGTCCGGCGAAGGCAGCAGGAACTAAGTAGAGAAACGAAAACACACGTATCCGTTTCAGTCTCCCGAAATGTTCACACAACAGTAACAGTGGTTAAGCAATTAGCGTTTGATCACAAAACCCATCAGAGACCCCGGGTTCTGAAAGCGGAGGCTTGCACAGTCTCCGTTTGGGTTTCTATTGCTGTGCCAAAACATTACAACCAAACGCAACTTGGAGGAGAAAGGGTTTATTTCAGCTTCCAGCTCCACATCAGGATCCATCATCCAAGGAAGTTGGAGCAGAAACTCAAGGCAGGAACCTGGAGGCAGGAGCCTCTTTTGGCCACGGAGGACCAATACTCACTGGCTTACTCCTCATGGCTTGTCAGCCTACTTTCTTATACACCCCAGAACCACCTGCCTGGGTGGGTGGGGGCACCACCCATGTGGCATGGGCCCTCCTCCATCAATCGCTAACCGAGATACTTCTCCACAGACTTGCCTATAGATCAATCTTATGGAGGCATTTTCTCGGTGAAGTTCCCTCTTCCCAGACATATCTAGATTTGTGTCAAGCTGACAAAAAGCAACCAGCAGGCAAACACTTCAAATAAAAGGGAAGTGCTGGGTGGAGGGCAAGTACTGGGATAATAGATTACCTTGACCAGCTCTGTGGCATGCTACCCAGAGTACCTGCTTAAGAATCATCTGATGTGAATAACATGTCTATCCCTAGATATGGGAAGCGGGGCTCGGGCAGCCTTGTGTGAGGCCATCAGCTGGGAAGGAAGGCGGGGAAGGGGGTCACCGCGGGAACCAAAGCCCCACTTCTGAGACTGGTCCCTGTGCACCTGGGGTTTCTGGCCTCTAGGGAAGCTTTCTTTGCATTCCAACATCTGGGGAAACTGCAGACAGCACTCCAGTCACCCCCATAAAATCCTAAATTTAGGGTTGGGAGCTGAAAACACCAGCTCCCTATGAGTAGGATGATCTAGAACAGGTGCTTAACTGGTCCTGTGTGTGAACAGAGGCTGGTCACAGCTCTCCTACTGTGTGTGGACAGAGGCTGGTCACAGCTCTCCTACTGTGTGTGGACAGAGGCTGGTCACAGCTCTCCTA